ATTTAAGCCCGGCATCCAGGGATCACATAACTTTCAAAAGTGTCTATGTATGAATGGTCCACCTTCCTTCACCTCTAGGACCATTCTTCTCCAGCAGTGGTACGAGAAAGGTTCCAGAAACATTTTTCAATCTAATCTTTTGCAAATATTTCCAATGGTGTTGGAAAAGACCAGACCTCCTTTATCTTTGCTGCACCATCTTCAGAAGGAGCAGGAAGAGACCATTTTTCTTAACTATATAAATTAGTCACCCATCTCACATATTTCTTTCCAATATGTATCTTGATTCATCTCCTTCTTCACCTGTCTTCATACATCCAAACCTTAACCATCAAGTATAACGCTGAATCAGAAGAATAGCTGTTGATGGTCTACGTCTAGGAGAAATTTTGCCCTGAACTTAGACATCTGTGTGTGTGCCTTCATGTTTCTGCATGTATGGGTATCATACTAAACGGGGGGAAAGTCCTTAACAAATTAAAGACAAATGAAACACACAGAAAAGCATTAAACTGCACAGAATAAGTAGTACAGCATGTTCATAATGCAGAAAGATTGAAGCCTTTGCAACCAAATGTCAGGTTTATCTGATAAAGGGACTACACACACTTTATGTTTACACCAGAGTAAGGTCCAATAAATTAAAAGGGCTTACTCCCAGAAAAAATGGACAAGATCCTGGTGCTTCTTAAAACTTGTAATTGTAGTCCCTTTATCAGATGAAACTTGTGAAAAAAAAATAAGGCTTAATTTTTCCTTAATACTTACTTAATTTCAAGGGTTTAAATTTGCGGATGGGGATATAACATCAGGAACTAAGCACTTTCTTTTTATCAAGCAACTTTTAAGAAGATGATTTAGAAATGAAGAAAGTGCACAGCTTAATCCTTTTCTACCCCCCCCCCAGGTTTCTACCATTGGCACAACTGTATAAAATGTAATAATTAAGGTCTCCCTATTTGGAGATCTATGATATCCCTGACTAAAGGATTATTCAGGCTAGCTTTACAATGTTCTCAATTTATCATCCATTTCTTGCAAAAGATTGTTTGGATCACTTTTTAATAAAAACTGCCAAAAGCAAAGCATTCACCAGTTTTAATTACTATAAGCAAGCCTTCCGTTAGACAACTAGAGAAGTAGGCTTGTTTGACAAAGGGAAAATATAGCACAGAGGAATGTATTCTCCCCACAGCAGTATAAGATTTAAAAAAAAAAAATAGTAAGATTAATTAGCAGCCTTGCTTCGACATCCAAAGATTTCATGCAGGAATATGACACCTTTGTTTTCAGTGTTCATGCCCTGCAATGAGAAATTATCTCAGTGACAAAACGTAATGCCTTCCAACATTCACCAGCCATAGTATTATCAGATTTTTTAAAAGAAAAGTACACAGAGACAGAGCCAAGAACTTAAAGGAAAATGCAGCCATTCCAATGTTTACCCTAAAAATAAATATAGTGTTCATTCAATATGTTGGACTCTGCTCAATCTATCAGCATTTCTAAATCTTTTTCCGTAGCACATATTCTGAGCAACAAGGCTGCAACCAGAACAATCAGACCAAAGGACCTGTTATTCATCAATATGTTATGCTTCCTCCCCCCAAATCATTTCAAAAGTGGTTTTATCCTTCTTGCCATGACAGTGAACAAACAGCACATAGCCCAGGCTACTAAGGAAGAGGAAGTTGGTACAGTAACTCATGGTTCAGCATCTGGCTGAAAACAAATGTCCCCATCTGAATCCTCTCTTTCTTTGAATTTACGTGAGGCTCTTCTCTCTGAATAAGGGTTCCAGTGAGAGCGGTGCCTTCTAGACAACCCAAGGAATGTGTTACTAAGGGCACGATGAATGGTCTAGGAAAGACCATTTTAAAGTCACTGAAATATTTTAGATTGGGAATAGGTTGCTATTCAACATTGCATAGCAACAGGATCTGAAAGTTATACATAGGACATAAAATTAGCCACTCAGTCTTACCTACCCTAAGGAGGATCTTAACTCAGTAATATTTACTTCTGAATAAAGCCATTAAGTGGTAGGCTTTAACAGCACAGCATTCTGCATGTATTTATACAAATCACCTGCATTTATCCCCAACATCAAGCTGGATCAGATATTTACCCTCTTTTCCATTGAAAGCCCCTAGAAAGGAGATTCTTTAAACACCTTCTGTTCCATGATCAGCTAACTAATCCAAACGAAGCAAACTGAGTGTAAAAATCTTGTAAATAATAAAATGATTTCAAGGCTGTGATTCTGTTCATTATTTATTAATGGCGAAGGCATGAGACTGGTGTTTTTCTTTTGAAAAACAGGCATTTTAAATTTTATTTATTTACACTGGATCTTGAACATTAAAGCAACGAGATACGTTTCATGCCCTTCTCCAAATCAGTTCTTCATATACAGTATGTAAGCTATGAAAAATTACACTAAATCTATGACATTAGATTTAACAAACAAGCATACATTTGCAAGATATCAATGAAACGCAAGTGTTTTAGACCTGAAGTCAGGTAACCCACATATATAAAAATTCTTCCCTAGACAAAGCATTCTAATTAATACTCTGAAATAAGAAGCTTTTGTTTTAAAACCATGAAGCATAAAAAAGAGCAAAATGTCCTTCAGAAATTAGTATAATAATATATTCCTTCTCATTTAAAATCCTTTAAAAAATTCTGTACATCACTAGTGTTTTCTTTTCTACATGCATTTAAGGACGTGCAACGGAACATTCTGATACAACTATAAATGTAGCATCTGAAAGTTTAGCTGGCATGTCACTCAAGCAATCACACAAGTTGACACTATATGAAGTTGGCTATATATTATGCAAATACACTGCAAACATTAAAATGGTAGGCTGCTAAAAATGCCACCAATTCATATTAAAAAATGATAAATCACATCCGTTGACAAATTACCACCAAAGCAGATACATTCCAGCAATTTTAATTAAATGGGTGTTGACAAAACATTCTGTGCTTAAAAATGTGTCTGAATGCACCTTTGAAATCATTCAGCAATCTTTTTAAAATGACTAGCCAAATAAATAAGGCAGAGATTTTTTTTATTATCAAATATTTAGACCTGGTTATTCAGGAGGGATTATAAATTGTATATTACTGCAAACCCTGAATTCATTAAATGTCTTTTTCATTTTTTTTTAAATCCAGTTGTTTGTGGGCTTATGTATATTTGTGGCTATATGTTCATATTCAGTTTCAGTAAATATTATTTGAAACTGGCCATATCACAGTCACATATCCAATTTCAATCAGGCAAACACAGTAGCTGCAAATTTTTTGTATTTCAAGGCCGGCATTTAATTATTTATTTGGTAGGCATCCTGAATTTGACTGTCTGCATTTCCATTTTGTAAAGAAAAGGCTCTAAAATTAAGCTAGCTATTATCACCTAAGTAAGCAGACCTAACAGCAACTCGATTATTGTGTCTTCTTTATACACACACACACACACATATCCTTCAGCTATCCTGATGGCTTATTTCCAGACTGAATTCTCATGTGCTTGTCTTGTAAAATGAAGCAATTTCATTTCAGAGTAGCCTTATAAAAGAATACTTTATGTTATCAATCATCAGCTGATCAGCTGTTCAAAGAAGTAAAGGTCTAAAGACATTGTACAGGAAACCTATTTATTTGCAGCGTACCTCATTCCTTGCTCCCTATCTTAAAGTAGCTTATCCTAAATTAGTCTTTTATTCTTACTTCCATTACTGATACTTCTAGTCATAAAAATAGTGGCCAGATAAATTATATTCTTTAGTCCCACTTAGACACTTCCTTACTCTTTGCAAGATGCATGCATTTCTGATGGATGCCCAGTTTATTTTAGTGATTGACAGGGTGCTTCAAATGAAGCACCAATCCTCTTGCCTTGCTAGGCAAATGTTGGGCTTTAAATTTACTATAATTTGAGGGAGTTACTGCATTCCTCCAAATGGACAAAGAATCAAGTATTTAAGAAAATATGGTGATGGCAGTACAACCCAGGGCTTCCTTTAACCACTTGAAAAAGGCAAGACATTCCTAATGCAATTCTGTTTTAACTTTCTCTTTCTAGCTCTCAAAGTAATCCACTGAAGCCTGCAGAAAGTGACAGAGAGAACGGGATCTGGTTAGGCAATGAACTGTCAACCTGTGCCATAAACTTTAAATATCTTAGATTCTGCTAAATAAGCTCTGATCAGTGTGCATGTGGTCTAGCCCCGTGGAAGATGAGTTCAAGTGATGATAACTATTAAAGATGCTTAATGAGAATTGTCCCTATTTTTAAAAAAAAAGAAAAAGAAAAAAGAGACTGAAATCCTTCTACAATAACCAAGGAAATAAACTCAATTTGATCCTTTAAATCACAGTCCCTGACCAGATTCAAATATTTCTCTGCGTTCCTTTCTTGACTGTGAATTTCGATCTGTTCTGGGCAAGTTTTCGAGGAAAAACGGTGGGCTGTTTTCAAAGAGGCTAGCCTGGAATTCACGCAAAACAGGGCCGAATGGGCAAGCTTTTCGGACGCTTCGTGGCACTGCCTAACAAAATAAGGGACTGTTGCATTTAAGATGCCAAGCTCCCTTATATAGCTTTTTAAGGGGGGGGGGGGGAGACCTTACCAGAGCTCTGATTTTGCACATGCGTAGATGCATTCAAAAGCAGAGGACTAAAACAAGCCCAGGACCTGTCAAAACATTCATGCTGTACACTGGGAAATTATCCGGTTGCAATGGGCAGAGGCTAGCATCAGAAACTAAGTTAGAGCTGTGACTTCGGGAAAGGATTCTTCAGGGCCAGTTCAGGGGCCGGGAGGGGGGAGATTAAGCCCCGATGTCCCCTTCGCTTTTGCAACGTTTTCAGTCTGGGCATCTGCTGGGCTAAAATAGCCCTTGGAGTCAGAGGGCTGGGAATGTAACTAGAAACTTTCCTCTCCGCGCAGCTGAAACGGCCGGGCAGCGGAGAGATGCTATTTAGGGATGGTCCTGAGACGCCGAAGTGCAGGAGGGCTCCCACCAGGACCCTTTTCGATCTCATCTGCCCGATGTTCTCCTTTTGATCGCTACCGGCCCCCAGGCACGGACCAGGGTCGCCGGCCGCCCATCCGTCCCCGACCTGTGACCTGCTCTCGACCCGGCGGGCTTTGCCAGTCCCTCTCCGCCTCCCCGTGGCCCGCCGCCGCCGCTTCCTCTGCCCTTTCCCAGCCACGAACTCCCCGGCTTCCCGGGTTGCCTTCCCGCCCCCCCCTCTCGGTCTCTCCC